TCAATGTCACCATTCTCTGGACTTCTGTTCAACTTCCAGATGTGCACAAAGGTGTCCTCGGCCGCAGAGAGTAGCTTGTAAGAAAAAGAGTTAGAGTGTGTTGATGGGACTGATAGAGGCTGGAATTCCCAGTCCAAGTCCCTTGGGGAGAGAATGACACTGAGGGTCAGAACCAAGCCTAGGGTGTTCTCACCCCAGCACCAAGAGAAAGAGGACACAGGTGAGGAGGAAGAGACTGACCTTGCCCACCTCAGGAGCAAGGTCCAGGGCACAGATGGCCCGGGCGTGGGCGTTGATCTGGACTTGTAAAGTGCCTGTACTGGCCTCATACAGATGAATTTGCCCGTTCCCATAGCCTGCTGCTATAATCCCCTGCCACAGCCGTACAGAGGAGCATGGGACCCTGCAAAGGTGAAACCCAACTTGGATCTCTCCAAACCCAAGTCCACTGAGAGAAAGGTCTCAGTCCCCTTCCCCCTCACTTACCCGAATCCTGGAATGCTGGTAAACAATTCGAATTCAGGCCCTGACTTCCAGACACACAGCAAACCCGTGTCATCTGCTGTCACCATGTCAGCCACACAGTCCTGAGGGGAAAGGCAGGCTCAGCCCTCCCCTCTTCCCTTTCTTCCCTGCTGTGGTCCTGTGTACAGGACTGGAGAGAAAGGGAAGTGGTATTTCTATCTTTGGTTCTCTAGGGAAAGAGCAGGTATGGAGCCTTCACTGGCTGGGCTCCCCAGAGTTCTCTCAGGAAGCATAAAACATTTGCCTTGCATTTCTTTTTGAGTCTCCCAGCCTCCCCACTCCTAACCCTTCCCACCATGTGTTGGGATGGGGTGTACAACTGTCTTCTCTGGATGGAGGATAAAAGTGAGCCCATACAATTGTGAACTTCTAAAGGTCTTACAGTTACAGTTATGACTAGACTCTGGACCTCTGGATCTGACACCAGCCAGCCAGCATGTCCCAGTGCTCCAGAGGCCTACTCTGTGCCAGGTACAATGGAAAACAGAACTGAAGATACGTACCTGATTCTCAAGAGATTTACAATCCAACTGGGGAAACACTAGTTGTTTTAGAGGGCAGTGCCAATTCAGGGGTTACTTAAAGCAGATCAGTGGGAGCTGGAATAGGGGGAAAGGATTCCTGGAGAGAGTCACACTGGAGTAAGAGAAGGAAGCTGCACATGCCAGAGCTAGAAAGCATCTTAGAGGGCCACTATCCTAATCTAGTCACACCAGCATCTTAAAGTCTCTGCGAACTATAAAATACCATGTAAATGTAAAACAACTCTGGCTTCATCATTAGACCCAAGGCTGCTGAAACCTAGAAAAGAGTAGTAGGTAGCCTAAGAGCTGCTTAGGGGTAGAGCTAAGAATTGAACCCATGTCTCTTGTCTCCCAGGTTTAGGGTCCTAGGTATGAGGAGAGACCACTCACCTGTCCCTGAGCAGGCTCGGTGGCAATATCTGTGATTGGTGTCTGGTGCCCAGTCAGCTCCTCACACAGTACAATGTTGGGACCCTTGGCTGGGATGTCAAATACCAGCACACGGCCTGACCATGTTCCTGCAGCCAGAACCAATGTCCCACTGATGGTTTCTTGATGCTTTCAGATCAACAACCACTATGCTCAGCATGCTCTATAATCCTTAGTAACCAACCCACTTCTCATTGCTCTAACTGCCCCTCCAATCATTGGCCTCATCCTGCCCCTCGGTACCCTTTCACGGCTTTTTGGATTTTCCCAGACCCCCTTCACTTCCACCCTTCTCTCTAACTCTATATTTACTTTAGATTCTCAGCATCTTCTTGGCCTTAGGTCTCCACCCATATACGCCAGTACCCCACCCCCACCCCACCCCCAGTGCCTTTGACCCTCTTACCCACACAGATGAAGTGGTTACTGGCAGCAATTCCTCGTGCAAATACAGCATGTACTGAGTATGAAGGAAGAAGATGATCACAAACGGATCTTTCCACCTTCAGCCTTTAAAACCCCACCCTGTACAGGGTCGCTTTGAGTCGGAACTGACTCCATGGCACACCATCCCCACCACCACCACCCATCCACATGGTCCTGCAGATACCTGGAGACGCATCTCCGGAGTTCAGTGCATGCCAATAAACCATGACAGAGCCATCAGACTCATACATCTGGAAGACAGGGAAAGGGCTAGAGAATAAGCCAACCGACTTTGGCTGGCTTATTCTCTAGCCCTTAAACCAATGAATTCTCAAAACAACCCTAGGCAGTAGGCATTATTTTTAATCCCCAGTTTACAGAAGGACCCTGAGGCTATGAGAAGTTAAGTGACTTGCTAAAGGTCACGAAGCCAACAAGAGGTGGCAGTTGAGACACAGGTATTGAAAACGGTATTTACAAACTGTTAAAGATGGAAATAATGAAGATGAAAAACAGAGGGGAACTGGGCTTTGGATATAAAAAGTTTATAATTGTTTCCATATAAGTGGAGAGGTGTATAGGGGCCTTGGAAGCGAACTGAGAAGATTGTGGGGGAAGGCAAGAGGGTCGTTTACTTACCTGTATTCCCCGATGTGAGGTGAGTACCAGCAATATGCGGAAAGGGAGGATACACCAGTGAACCTGGAGGGAGTTGGATCAGAGTACAGAAAACCGGTCAGAGCACCGGCTGTGAGGGTTCATCAGAAGAGTGGAAATTCTGGAGGTTAAGAAAGGAAGAATGGGGGACAGGGCAGGGTTCAGAAATACTCCACTCCCAACTCCCCCAACTCTATGCCTACCTGGGTGATAAGTGGGGGGCTCATTCCAGCACCTTGCTTAGCGTGGAGCTGCCGCTGAGCCAGCGGCACACCCTCTGTGGCAGCGCTAAGAAGCTGGGTGCTGGGTCCATGCACCACCCCGAAATGCGTAAGGATGCAAGTGGGCAGCTGCAGCACACTGAGGTTGTTGCACAGGGCGGCAGCCGAGCTTCGAAGAGGGATGGAGCGCTCGCGTCGGAACATGCTGGGGAACCGACACCCAAATCTCAGGGTGCATAGGAACAGACTCAGCGGAGACTCCTGCGAGGGGGCAGGAGACGCTGTCTTGATGCGCTGGGGAAAACTACTGGCACTGTGCCTTGCTGTGGTGGGAGGTCCCTAGGAGGGTGATGGGGAAAGTCTCAGGGTGTGGGCCACGTCTTGAGGAGCGGGAGAGGGGAGCCCCAGGGAGAGGGAAGCCCCAGGGCACTGGAGAAGACTTCAGGAAGGATGGTGACGGCACATATCGCGGTGGACCCGAGCACCCGGGGTCAAGAAGGCAGGATGAGGCAGGATAGACTCCCGCCCATTCAACCTCGACAGGGTTCCCCGCAACCCCCCGGCTCTGGTCAGAGGTCACACCCTTGGCCCCAGGCCCGCTTGCCTGACTCGAGGATCTTTTCGTCACTCCGAATCCGCCGCCACCATAGAGACGACGCAAGTACGCACGGCCGATGGGCGGGGCGAGCGGTCCTGCGCGGCGCGGTTGCTCGGGCAACTGTTAGGCCACAGTTGCGGATGTGGAAGCGGGGTTGACATCGTTGAAACCAGGGCATCGAAATACTGCAGCGGAGATGGCTCACGAAGGCCTGGTGAGTTCAGCAAGCCTAAGGGTGCGCTAGAGTCAGGGTTTTGAGTTAAGGCCCATATTGGAAACTGTGGGTCCCCGCTTCTACTCGCACAGGTACGCCGTACTAAGCCGAAGCCATCCTCTCTCCAGCTGCTCTTCACGGATCCCCTCAGCCACACGCTTCTCTTATCCCAGAGTTATCTAGGGTGGAACAAATGTCTGCTTCTTAACTTCTCTTCTGGAGTTCAAGATAGCTCAGGAAGTCACTTTGGGCAGAAAATATACACCTGCACCAGGCCTAACCACACACGTGATCATACCAAGACCATGAGAGAAAGGGAAAGAGGATAATGTAGTCTCAAAATAAAACTAATTTAGAAACAGTCTTGGTGTGGTGCTTCAGGATAATGAGCTGAACCGTAGGTCAGTTTGAACCGCAAGGTAGGTGTTTCATACCCATCAGCCGCTCTTTGGAAACCCTATACAGGGTCACTATGGGTCGGAACCAACTCGATGGCGCTTAACAACAACAATCCTTGTAATGAGCGCTGGTGTGGCGCTGTAGGATAAGCACTGGACTGCTGACCGCAAGGTCGTACGTCAAACCTATCATCTGCTCTCCAAACCCTATACAGGGTCGCTATGAGTCAGAACCAACTCAAGGCACACAACAGTGCATGTAATACATCTCTTGGAACTAGTTTAAATGTATAAACCAGAATTGTCCAGGAATTTGGGACTGAAGTGTTGGTAGATAAAATCATGTATTTTGAGACTGTCAGAAAGAAGAAAACATTGTGAGACTGCACTTTAAAGTTATTGTGTAAAAGCCAAGAAACTTCTAAAGAGTCTTTGTGGAAAAGTTATCTGGTCATTTAGATTAGACCAGGTCTAACTCACCAGCTGCTCCTTGGAAACCCTATACAGGGTCGCTATGAGTTGGAACCAACTCAATGGTACTTAACAAAAACAACAATAGGAAGATGCCAGAGGAGGGGCTGGGAAGAGCGGTCTAAGAAATCAAACAACTTTTGCTCCTCTTCCAGTCCTGGCTTCCAAGCCACTCCCTGGGCTTGTCTGTAGGGCAGTTCACTAGGAGAGGGGAAATACAGTTTTAAGAGATTTTGAGTTCAGTGTGAGATTTAGGAAACTTCAGATTTGGAGGAGAATGCATTTTGAGGAACATGAGTATGAGGTGGGGATGGAGTATGAATGAGCTAAAGGTTTGGGAACATCAGTCTTAGAAGTAAATTTTGGAAGAAACCAGGCTTAGGGAGGAGTCCTGGTGTGGTGTTGTGGCCTATGCGTCATTTGGACTGCAAAGTCAGTGGTTCAAGCTCACCAGCTGCTCGTTGGAAACCCTATATAGGATGGCTATGGGTCGGAATCAACTTGACGGCACTTAACAACAGCAACAGAGGCACCTGTTAGTAAACCCTGTGTTCCTAGAATAAATGAGACTTGGGGAAGAGTCTTTTCTTTTTTAGGTGGTGTTTTCTTGATTGTTGTTCTTAGCTGCCATCTAGTCGGTTCTGATTCTCAGCAACCCTATGCACAACAGAACAAAACATTGCTCCGTTCTCTTCCACCCTCACAAATGTTATACTGGAGCCCATTGTTGCTGCCACTGTGTCAGTCCATCTTGTTGGAGGGAGGGCTTCCTCTTTTTCACTGACCCTCCAGTTTGCCAAGCCTGAAGTCTTTCTCCAGGGACTGGTCCCTCCTGATAACTTGTTTGAAGTATGAGGAATGAAGTCTCAGCATCCTGGCTTCTAAGAAATCTGGGCACACATCTTTCAAGACAGATTTGTTTGTTTCTCTGGCAGTTCATGATACTTTTTAAATATTCTCCAACACCATAATTCAAATGCATCAATTTTTCTACAGTCTTCCTTATTCCTTGTGCAACTTTCACATGCATATAAGGCAATAGAAAATACCATACTTTGGGTCCTCAAGCTGACATCTTTGCTCTTTAATACCTTAAAGAGTTCTTTTACAGCTAATTTACCTAAGCAATACTTCATTTAGTTTCTTGACTGCTGCTTTCGTAAGTGTTAATTGTGGATTCAAGTAAAATGAAGTCTTTGATAATGTCAATTGTTTCTCCATTTGTCATGTTGTTATTTATTGGTCCAGTTGTGAGGATTTGTTTTCTTTATATTGAGATGCAATCCATACTGACAGCTGTGGTCTTTGATCTTCTTCAGTAAGTATTTTAAGTTCTTTTTGTTTGCAGAAAACGAAGTTGTATCATCTGCATATCATCAACTGTTGAGTATTCCTCCAATCCTGATGCCATGTTCTTCTTCATATGATCCAGTTTCTTTGATTATTTGCTCAGAATACAAATTGAATAAGTATAGTGAAAGGATTCAATCCTGGCACATACCTTTCCTGGTTTTAAACCATTCAGTATCCTCTTGTTCTGTTCTAATGATTGCCTTTTGGTCTATGTATGGGTACTTAGACCTCAAGAGTACAATTAAGGGGGGTGGGCAGGAAGAAGATTGAGCTGATCCAAGCTGATGAACTTGACCTATGAATACGAATGCAGTGACACAAAAGAGGCTATAAATCCTTACAGCAAGAAACATTCCCACCCCCTACCCCCCACACACAGAGTAGACATAGAGGGGCAACTTGGACATTGTATACCCAAATGGGGAGGGAGGGACTACAAAGGCAAGAAGTAACTGGCTTACAAGCCTTCAAGAGGGAACCTAGAGCTAGGGGGCATGGAGGAAGGCAGAATCACCAGAGAATACTATCCAGTTTGTCTAGGTGGAGCTGATGAAATGAAATACAGATGGGTAACGTGCAGTACTGTAGTGAACAATGGTAATCAAGACGGATTGTGAGTGTTAGGAATGCAAGGGTAGATGTTTTGTAGCAAGGAAGAGAGCGATTATTTCTCCAGTCTAGGAGCGGAGGTCTCTGGGACCACCAACGGATAAGAGCCAAGAACAGGACCCTACCCAGAGAACCGGGGATGCCTGAGATGGAGACAGAGATGATGACATGGAGGGATGAAGCGGCTGGGGACTTTGGATCCAGAGAGGGAAAGGAACTGTGGGCCAAAGACTGAGGGGGTAGGGGGGAGGGTAGAGCATGGGCTTCTAGGATATGCCCTTTGGTTGGAAGACAGGCATGGAGGGGACTGGAACCATGGCAATATAATGATATATGATGGAATGAATATGGAACTGAGGTTCTCTCATGTAAACTATCATATAATTCACAATAAAACATTGAGAAAAAAAAAAGTACAATTAAGTGTCTGGAATACCCATTCTCCGCAGTGTTATCCATAGTTTGTCATGATCCACATAGTCAAAAGCCTTTGCATAGTCAGTAAAACGCAAGTAAACATCTTTTTTATATTCTCTGCTTTCAGTCAAGATCCATCTGATGTTAAGCAATGATATAACTAGTTCCACATCCTCTTCTGAATCGGCTTGAATTTCTGGCAGCACCCTATTGATTTACAGTTATAGTAGTTTTTAAATTTTCTTCAGCAACATTTACTTGCACGTGATATTAATGATGTTTTTATATGATTTCTGCAATCCATTGGGTGACCTTTCTCTGGAATGGGCATAAATGTGGATCTCTTCTTATCAGTTAATTAAGTAGCGGTCTTACAAATTTCTTAGCATAGACAAGTGAGCGCCTCCAGTACGTCATCAGTTTGTTGAAATACTTCAATTTGGATTTCATCAATTCCTGGAAGCTTGCTTGTTTTTTTTGCCAGTGCAGCTTGGACCTTCAGTTCTTGAATATATGGTACCTCTTGAAATGGTTGCACGTAGGTGATTTCTTTTTGGTACAGTGACTTTGTGTATTTCTTCCATCTTCATTTGCTGCTTTCTGCATCGTTCAATATTTTGCCTATAGAGTCCTTCAATATTGCAAGTGAAGTCTTGAATTTTTCTTCACTTCTTGCAGCTTGAGAAATGATGATTATAACAGAATAAAACAAACTGTTGTTGTCCAGTATATTTCAGTTCATAGTGACTGTGTATGTTTCAGAGAACTGCACCCCTGTTTTCAGTGGCCTAATCTTTCTTCCAGGCACCTCTGGGTAATTTGAATCACTAACAGATAATAACAAGTGGTACCACCCAGGACTTATAAAATAGAGAAAATATAGTTTACCTATTGTTTCTATTTTGGTGATTATCTCTTTCTCCAGCATATCTTAGTTTACACATTTCAGGTTGAATTCTATATGTAATTTGTATCCTGTTTTTGTCATTTAATATTACATCATAAGTATCTTCCAATGCCATTACAACATCTTCCTAAAGCTAATCTGTAATTACTGTACACCATTCTATCATAGAGCTATACTACAATAAGCCATCTGTCTCTCCCGTCACCTGCTTTTTGAGTTAAAGGGCCCCTATATAGTGTCACTTTCTATGAATTGGAATTGACTCAGTGGCAGTGGGTGGGGTTTTTTTTTGTTTTTTTTCTTTTCGGTTAGACATTATGTTTTCAGTATTTTGCTATTATAAACAGCACTACAGGGATATATGTATGTTGGAGAATATATTTTTTATCTTCAGCGTAGGCCTTTTGAAAGCATTTATAGAGTTGAAATTGTTGGATTGAAGGAGTAAAAATATTTTTAATGCTCAACGTTACATACCACTGAATGGTTTTCAAAAAATACTGTGCCAATTAACATTCCCATTAGCAAAGTGTAGGTCTGTTTTACTGACTCTTGTACCGTTGAATATTCCTATTTTAAAACTTTTTTTTTTTTTTT